ATTTTTCAAAAGAAAATTTTAATTTTATTTGTTTGATAGATATTTTGTATGGATATAGAGAAGGAGGTAAATGGAAATGTATTATTGTATAGCAGCTGTCCACGCGGACGCATCGCTCACTCAAGTAGGAAAGAGACAGATGTCGAACGCTGCCGAACGCGGAGGCCGATTGTGCCTCTTTGTCGCTCGTTCCGCGCTCTCGCTTCAACTTCAAGCCTTAAATGGAACGCCTCAGAGCGAGGTAACGCCGCATGAGTCATGTTTTTTCGTACGTGCAGCCGGCTCCATCGAATTATAAGACGTTGTCACGTCAAAAAGCCGTTGGGTCATTTTGGGAACACTGTGTATCTCTACTATTTAATACATCATTTTAATGATGCAGTTTTGGTACAAATACCTCGCAGGTATCCACGACATACTAACGACAAAAAAAAATTGTTTTGGAAGGCATTGGAGCGTACGAAGCGACAATAGAAAAACAACACACGGTCAACATTGTAATAAGTGATAAGTACAATAGACATAAAGAGAATAATCCAAACAAAGAACGGCGTGCGTGGGTGAGTACTCCATCGACTGACTGACTGACTCAATTAACTCGTATTCCTATCGGACGGAAGTAGAAATTCTGGCAAATTTACAACAGATGAATGCGGGAGATGCATTATAGCCGTGTCGTAGTGAACATTCGTTTGTCTATATTCAAATAGGCGCGACTGTCTAGAAATTGTTAATACACATAATTATGCACGTTGTGCAAGTTACTGTTTTTGAAAAATTGATACACATAGAGCAGTGGTTCCTAACCGTTTTAATATTGTTATCCTTGTGACCTATTAGGAAAACTGATTTAACCCGACCTTAAAATGTTATCAATACAAACAACACAAGCAAATACAAATTTTTTTAATAATCACCAATTGCACATCAGTCTTACAATTTTATATACCTAAACAATAAATTATGCAAAAATATAGTAGTTAGTGTGATGGTTGGTATTATTTTGCATGTGTGCTAAGATTATAATTTTGAAATTCTACTCTACAAGTGATATTTTGGCGTAGTACTTTGGCCGTTAGGTCTTCTTTTTAATAATGTTATCATCCGTTGTGAATGGTCTTTATATCTAAGAACTGGACTGACGATTATTCATATCCGGAAAATATTACTTCAGTGAGTTTGTTGCTGCAGATAAATGCCGAACCACAGATCAAATCAAATATAATCTTGTTTGGTTCAATATTTACCAATAGTTGTATAAACATCGACACATCTATAATTTTATATTTTTATTAGCTAGCTGCGTATTTTAGGTCTTAATCATTAGGTTCTTTGTTACCCCCACAGAATAACTGATTTACCCCCGCGGGGGTAATTACCGTCAGGTTCGGAATCACTGACATACAGGAACTCACACAAAATTTCGGGTTGAGAGAAAAATGGAAAGAAAGCCTCTATACAAGTTTCAATAACGTTAGATGATTAGTCAGAAAAAGAAAAACAAAATTTCAACAAAACACAAGCAAATACAAAAATATACGTAAGTATAGCAACCGGGGGGAACGGGGCACATAAAAAATTATCTTTTAATCCACTAATACATTTCCTAAGTGTACTCAAATCTGAATTGTTTTCTTATATCCTTACACAATTACAATTACAATTACATCAAGTACTATATGCGCCCACTTCCGCTTGGAATTCAGTGTGTAACTGTTAAATGTGATATTTTTTATGGGCTTTTTTAAACTCTACAACTGTTTCACATAAACCATTCGTATGTGTATCTCTTACCGATACGGCAATATTTGTGAAAAGCGCGTTCAATTGACTGTTTTTTCGTCGACTTAAATACGTTTGAAAATTAGTCTCCACGAAAAGCCCTTTTATTTTAACAAAATTATATACTGCCTATATCAGTTCTAAATATTGATGAATGAACGAAAATAATTTTGGTCACCTTTAACTACAAACGAAAAGTTTCGCCTTTGGTAGTAAGAAACATTTGCGCTTGAAGATTAAAGGTATGAGCACACTGGAGCGCAGCGAGCGGACGGAATGCAACGCAGTTTTAATTAACAACGTGAGTCGTCTGATGAAGAATTTTACGTTATGCTTAAATTGTAAGAGGAATTTCAGAAAGAACGAGAGAAGAACCTAATTTGGAAATGTAATACAGGGAGATATGTGTAAAACGATACACTTTTTGTGAAGTTTCTCAATTATTTAATGACTTACAACAGGACGACAGAAAATTTTTTAGTGACTTTCCGATAGTTTCGGATAGCTTGTTACAGATATTCGATTTTTAAGGAACTGTAAAAGGAAAATTTACTAAAAGGTAATGATTTAATTTTATTTCTAGGATATCGTACAATCAGAGAAAAAGACAGTAGTATTTTTAGCCTAGACTTTCTTCTGTCCCTTTTTACTCCTGTTTCTGCTTCTAGTACGTCTCTCTCCATGTCTCAGATGGTAGGACACTGGGTACCATTCTATCTCTCATTTTTCATATTAGTGTGCTTAAAAGTTAACGTTGATGGCAAATAAAAAATGAATGCAGTGAATATTGTTACGTGTTATTACCAACAATATATATGTTAGCTATCATTTATCATATGCACAAACCGCCATTAATTGTAAGAGCAGACTTTAAAGTTTAAAATTCGCACTGTCTAGCAGCGTGTGTGGCTACATTCTTAAAAAAAAATTGCACATCACAAGTCGTCGACTTTATGAATAATTCACTTCTAGACCGAGTGATAGCTTAAGGAGGTCATTAGAAATCAACTTCACTGAAAGATTATCAATGGTTTTGTAAAGCTGATAGCGCACATGCTATTGATAAGGATTTCACATAAATATAACTAATAACCATTCGACAATTTAAGTATTATATTATTAATTTGTATTTGAATAACCATGTACCTACATATTTTTCCCATACTTGCGCTTAATGTTTTTGCATTTGCCAATTTAGGAAATGACTAGAATGGTATTTATTCATACATGTAGCGATAAATGCCTGGTTTAATAATCGGCAAAGACCCTTTTGTACAAAAAGTTCACAGTGATTAGTATTCTATGTAGATCGAAATTCAATCTTACTGGACCTCACCAGCACGCCGTAGACAGTTGAATCCCACAAAATGTACCAATTTCTTAGTAGTAAAACCCTTCTGTTTCGTCATCTCATCTTTAAAATCAGACCACTCATTCTGGACTTCTTTGCAACGAACAAATTTCTATCTCATTGAATCTCTTCAGCACGCCGTAAGACAATTGAATTCTACAAAATATACCAATTTCCTTTTTTACAATGAAAACTAAAGTATTATTAAAAGTAACGCTTGTTGTTGCTAAGATACCTAATCAACTGCAGCAAGATGTACAAATCGACAGACAGAAACTTTCTTTTTACCTTAGTATTAAATACGTATTCTTTTATCAGTTTTACTAAGAATTTATTTATCATTATTATTTAATATTTAACCCTCCCCGTATCCTGAACCCTCTCACTCTTCCCCATTTTATTAAGTAACGATACTTTTAAGACTCTTGAAATTAGTGGATAAACAGTGTGTAACTGTTAAATGTGATATTTTTTATGGGCTTTTTTAAACTCTACAACTGTTTCACATAAACCATTCGTATGTGTATCTCTTACCGATACGGCAATATTTGTGAAAAGCGCGTTCAATTGACTGTTTTTTCGTCGACTTAAATACGTTTGAAAATTAGTCTCCACGAAAAGCCCTTTTATTTTAACAAAATTATATACTGCCTATATCAGTTCTAAATATTGATGAATGAACGAAAATAATTTTGGTCACCTTTAAC